TGGGGGACAGACAACAGAAAAGTGGGTGAAGGGACACTTCAGACAGGGCAAGATACGACAAAATAATAATTTATAAATTATCAAGGGTTCATGAGGGGAGAGGGAGCAGGGAATAAGGGGGGAAAATGAGGAACTGATGCCAGTGGTTTAAGTGGAGAGCAAATGTTTTGAGGATGAGGACAATGAATGTGTACAAATGTGCTTTACACATTGATGTATGTATGGATTGTGATGAGTTATATGAGCCCTTAATAAAATGATTAAAAATAATAATAATAAATAAATCCAGGTAGAACATAAAAAATAAAAAAAAAGGAAACATGGAAATGTGCCCGGGCTTTTCAGAGGGCACATGGTATTTCTGGTATGAAAAACTCGGGAACCTCAATGGCATCACCCTGCAAAAACGCATTACCGTGTTCTCTGAGGATGGATATGAAGGAAGTAATGACAATCGGGAGTACTTCCTCTCTCTAGCTCCCATTCCGGCTGGGACTGAGGGCACAGGGACGGATGCTCTGGAGGCAGACACGAACATGTACGGAGGGTTAAACTGCAGGTGCAGTAATGGAAGTCCAGAGGAATTCAGAGGAGATTTCTCATGGAGACCGGGTGTAATCTCAAATGGCCTTTCTGGTTTCATAAATTTTGAAGAGCTCTTTTGAGGTGCAAAGTTTTCTGGTCCCACATACTGATCCAAGTTCAGATGTGCAGGCATTTCTGTATTTACCGTTTCTGCCCACCTCTTCTGTTCAGCTGCCTTTTTTATGGCTTCAGGATTGTACTGGTTCAAATTCAAGAGGGAGGCCGCAGTAGTGTGTATGTCTCTCTGTGAAAGAGGAGGCTGGAAGGAACCTGAAACCCCCCAAGCCTCTTTTGGTTGTGGCAGAGGCCTGAAGGGAACTGGTGGAACTCTTCCGGTAGACAAGGGAAGTGGCTTGAATTCATGCTTTGGCTGGAACTGGAGCAGAGGAAACCCATCACCAGGAGTGACCATTTTCGCTGCTGGGATAAGCTGAGGTGTCTTCTGAATGGCAGACATGGACAAAAGGTGCAGGTGAGTATTGGCAGCAGGGGCTGGAGACAACATAGTGGGTGGTAAGTTGTGAGATGTTGGAGTTAGTCTTCTCTCTTGGGGTTGGCCTTCTAAATGACTTAAAGGAATACTCTCATGTGAAATATTCTGGAAGAGAAATAAAAGACACATAAGTCTAAAATCTATATACTACAAATTCTTTATGTTGAAATTATTGTTCAGTGTGTTACTGGGATGGGGGGAGTGAGGCATTAGAATTTAGTAACTGCTAAAAAAAAAAAGGACTGACTGAAAAAAATCACCACTCAATTGAACTACCAGGAAAATTTTCATGGTGTTTTTAAATATATCACCTGTACATTTCCATTCCTGTTTTGATCGGATTGCTCGACTCTTTGCTGACCATGTGGGCTGGGATTGCCACACTCTCTGGTGTATTCTCCTGTGGACTGTGGTTTAATTAAAATCCTGTTCTTAAGATTTCCACCGGTATCTTCAACATCACTACTCCCTCTTATGGGGTTTGGTACTTGGCTTCCCACCAAATGCACAGACTGAGACTGCTGTACAAGATGCTGTATATTCGGGAGATTAGCAAAGGACGACCCAACCACCTGCATTAGGCTCATGAAGTTGATCTGTTGCAGCTGGAATAAAACACAAGTTTTAAATTGTAGAATATAATCAAAACAATCTAAGGAAGCAGCAGCCATCCAAGTATTCCACAAGAGTAGTGCCTTCGTCTCAGTACTTGCTAATTGACTCATGAAAGCTGAGTAGTAGGCGAATTGAAAAGAAAGCAGAATGGCTTTCTGCCTTCAGGAAGCTGTCCACTGAGAATATGAGTGTTCACTAATGATCTAGCCCTGATTGATGAAGCAGTTGACATAAACATCCTAAAGGAATTGTCTGGAGAGTGAGGAGGATAATCAAAATAACATTCCTAGAATGGAGCAGGACTACACTGGATTGGTTTAATTAAAAACCCCTTCCCCATCACCACTTCCCTGTGGTCAGCAGCTCTGGGCATATGTGAGACAGCGGATTACTTGATTTGGCTCTTCTAGCCATAGGCATTGTAACTCCCAACAAACAACTTTTTCCTGAGGGCAAGAGAAGGTGGAGGAAGATGCTGACAGATGATACGGTTCAGCTGTGAATGATTGTTAAGAGGGCTCTGAGTGTAAACATCTGGAACTCAACATGAGGATTGCTGGGTATAACTACGCCAGCCCAGCAACAGGAGGGGGCATCTACCAGCCAGAAAGGCAATCCTTGAGTGGAGCGTGTCCTCCAGACCCTGAGATATCTGCATCTTGGGCACCCTTCAGCCAGAAACACAAAGCAATGACACAGCAACAGAACCAAGCCAGGGTGGGCTTCCTGGCCCACAAAGCAGGTGAAGCTGAGGGCCTTTTAGCAGGAGATCCAACACTCGCAGAATGGGGTGCTTCTAGGCAATAAACTGGGGAGCTAAGTTTGCTGACCCTTGGAGTCAGAGCTGGGTACCTTTGGACTGAAGCTTATGGTGCCATGGGGTGTCTTATGGGCATTTGAGAAAAACAGCAATAACTCAGCCATGTAACATGGTCTAAGCAGGACAAAGACCAAGGGGTCATGTGAGTGACAGGTAAAGGACCAAAAAGAGAGAGGGCTGCCTGCAGACACAGCTGGAAAGAGGTTATCCTGACTGAAGAACTGTCTTGGCCGTTTCTGATCCTGCTTTGTATACTGTTAACATCCATGATAAGGCCCACAATTGTATGGGTTTTGTATTATCAAACCCGGCCAAGATGTAAAGAGTGACAGTTGATATCAGAATTGGCAAAGGAGGAAAGAGGAAAGAGGGTAGAGTCATGTTTGACCTCCCCTCATTAGGAATCAGCCTTGGGCTGGAGTGGAATGTGATTCTCCTTCCCCTTTGTGTAGCCAAAGGTCATACACTGCCAAACCCCATACTTACCAGCATATCAAGGAGCTCAGTTAAAAGTCATTGTGAGAAAACACTGGGCCTTAGAACAGTGGTTCTCAACCTTCCTAATGCCGCGAAAGTTCTTCATGTTGTGGTGACCCCTAACCATAAAATTATTTTCGTTGCTACTTCATAACTGTAATTTTGCTACTGTTCTGAATCGGGCGACCCCTGTGAAAGGGTCATTCGGCCCACAGGTTGAGAACCACTGCCCTAGAATTGTTTTAATGACAAGAGTACCAGAAAAGAAAAATGCCTGTAATTTAATTTCCAGTTGTCTACTTCTAGATACAGTATATACTCGAGTAAAAGCTGACCAAATATTTTTTTACCACAAAACTGCATTAAAAATGTGCTGAAAAACTCGGCTTATACGTAAGTATATACAGTATTTGATAATATTTTGAAACCTTGTTTATACCATAAGTGGGTGTGTTTGTTTATATATAGATAAGCTCACCTGAACTAATTTAAACATTTCATCTTGGAGCATTTGCCTTACAGAATCCGAAGAGTCTGGTAATTCAGTCCTGGGTTCATTTCTCTGAGTCTTGCGAGGTGATGGCACAGGTGTTCGTGGAGAGGCATTGTCTCCTTTTGATACGAAAGGTGGAACTGAGGAAGATTCACCCTTAGAAGGAGGAATATGTGCACTATGTGGAAGCATATTTTTAAAAAAAGCACATTAACGAACCAAAGAAATTACTCAGCAAGAAAACCCTAGAGCTCATCTTTCTGTACCTGTGAGAGTCAGCACAGTTTGTACCTGGCTGTCTTTAAAAGAGACGTGCACTATGAGTTGACCATGATCACCTCCCAGTGGTGTCACTTGTGGTCCCCAAAGGTATCTGAGCTGGAAGCCTGTACAACCATTCTGATTAAATTCATAGACTATGTAATTTGATGTGGGAGTAAGTTTTTGTTTCTACCTAAAATTAATAACCCAGACTAGTTAGGAAAATTGGATACAGAGTAGGTTAAAACTGTTTAATTTCAGGATTGGTAGAGCCAAGTATTAGAGATCATCACTAAATGCATAAAAACCACAGCAGTTCTAAACTAACCCCACAGTTGACACTTATAACAAACTCAAACAAAAGATAAATTCTTACTTAGAAAAGCAAAAATCACAGCAAGGGTTTTATTTTTTTCTTAAAACACTAATAAGGATTTCTTGAACACGATCAGTACTCAGGTTTCTAGAAAATCAATCCCATAAACTGAGTAATGGGACAAGCAATGATCTTAGTCAAATGACTTGCTCATTAAGTTTCCAAAAACAAGGAATATATTAAATTACATTTAGATGAAAGATCACTATCAAGAATAGTTGCCTTTTACAAAGCATCTAATATGCTCCATAATAAAACATTATTTAGCAAATCCACATGCAAAAAAGTAGGCATTACAATCAAACTGCCTATTTAAAACAACTTTATTCAGTTTTGCTTTCAATAAGTAGAAAGCATAACTAAATACTAGTCATGTAGGATTTCTCTGATGTAAAGTTGGATTACATTATCCTCCTATTTCAGCAAGACTTCTAAACACTGGAGATCAGACTGTCTTCCCCTGTTTAACCTCTGAAAAAGAAACTCTTAAGTACATAACTGGATGGATCTGTGATTAGAGAAAATTAAGAGATTAGAGGCTGAAAATTAACAGTAATAAATCCATCACCTTTTTTCAAAAATGATAAAAATTAAATGTCTCTTGTATGTTTTTAAAACACCTTGTTAAAGAAAAATTTTTCAATAATTAAAGTTTCAGAAATGTATACCTATCTAGTGCTCCTTCAATGTTTCATGCTACTTTCATCGTATTCTTAGTTTTTAGTTTAAAAGAAAAAAAAGCGGTTCTTAACTATTTCAAAATGGAACAGTAGGCAAAAATGCTTACCTAGAAATCTCTGAACTTGTATCACAGAGTGAGTGAGGAATCGTATGTTCTGTAGTTGAAAAGCCGTCAATCATACTGTTAATAAACAATTACATGTGACTGGGAAGCAAAACATTCTTCAAGTTATCTAAGGTACAAGTGATCTAATTGCAGCCATGAGTCTTAAATATCCTCTAATCCTCTGTAATGCTTAGCTCATAATTATAATCTGTTTACATTAATCTCCATAGTAATAGATTCAAACAGAGCTTGTTTGGTTTCACACACTACATGGGCACCTGACTGTTCAGCAACCGAAAACAAGAGACTCTTCAATGAGGGACATGAGGCTAAACTGGGATCGCAAATTTCCCTTATGAAGCAAGCAGATAACTTTGTTCAGGAGCACTGAAGAGCCCATTGAAACAGATGAAACTATAATGGCCAATTGTTACTAATAGAAATACAAGTGTATTTTTTACTAATAAAAATATAAATGTATTTCTAAGTGTAATATGTATTTATTTTAAAGGCAGATGACATTCATCATATCATTTTTGTTAATTAGCCACAAAAGAACTGAACAAAATTTGTGTCCACCCCCAAAAAACATTTGATTGTTATCTCTCTTGCCCAAGGTAATTCTAAAAATTAAGAAATCAAACTACAAACTCTAAAAGCCGCCTTCTGCTCTCTTTGTAGCAAAGTATGGGTTAAAAGCATACATTCATGCCTCAGTCCTATTCCTCAGTGCTCAGTAATAAAAACACAAGATTATGTCAAAGGCTGCAAATATTATGGCTCAATTATTCTTTTAACTCAATAAAAATGGGAAGATGGTGATATGATTGAATAATTAAACTGTGATATGTGAAATATATGCCAAATAAAACTATTTACTAATAAGACCAAAAAGAAAAGGAAAGGTGGGTTCCTAATTAGAAGTGGATGAAGTCTGTTGTATTTATATCTGTACTTTATTCTGATAAGATTGATGGCAATGAAACAATAAAAGGCATTTTCAATATCATCAAATCATGGTTTACTTGGCACGCTCACACCACTAGACACATAGTGCACACTACGAGAGCTCTGTAGTGTGCGTTGGTGAGGTCGACAGGCGATTACACCAGGCTGTCTTCCTTCTCACCTTTTCTGCTCAGTCAAGTTTTTTGCCATTTTTATCTTCAATGGTGCTTCTCTTGAACACTGAACTTCTCCTGTGGAATGCTATTAAAATAGTACATGACAAAGAAAAAAAAAGGTAAAACAAATAGATATTATTGTCTCTGATTTTTGAGTTTCACATTTCACATTCTCTAGAATCCATCTTTATTTAGCCTACTTCCTATTTTCATAAAAATATATTCAGCACCCCCTACCAATTAAAAGCTTTTTTACTACAGCCCATAATCTAGTATAAAGTGTAGGTATCTGTTTTTGCAGCCCTCCTGGATCTTTCAAGAGCCCCCAAGAGGGTGGTATCATCCACTTAGGGAAACAACTGATTTAGAATAACAATATAAAAGAAGGTGAGAAATCAAACATTACAGCGTACTCTCAGTCCTGTTCTGACTAGATCCTTTCATCATATGAATTACCTGGCTCATCACCCTGAGCTATAAAACATACAACAAGATGATAGTAAACTAATATTAATGCAAATTATAGACACCTATCACTACATGATTAATTACTCTGTGGAAACAACGATAAGATTTAAGAAATATATCAAATCCTTATTAAAACAATTCTTTGAATAATTAGGAATGGATATGGTCTATCTGAAAATTCAGGGCATGGGTAAACTTTACAGCACACATTAAAAAAACTTCACTGGCATCGAGTCAATGTCGACTCACAGGGACGCTACAGGGCTAGGGCAAGCAGAACTTCCCCTTTGATTTTCCAAGACTGTAACTGTTTACTGCAGTAGAAAGCCCCATCTTTCTCCCTCAGAGCTTCTGGTGATTTAAAACTGCCGACCTTGAGGATCATAGCCTAATGGGTAATACTATACCACCAGGGCTCCCTACACTAATATGCATAAGTAAAAAAAATGATGAGCTAATATCAAGGGCTCAAGTACAAAGAAAATGCTTTGAAAATGATGATGGCAACCTATGTACAAATGTGCTTGACACAATGCATAGATGTATGGATTGTGATAAGAGCTGTAAGAGCCCCCAATAAAAGTATTTAATAATAAAGAGAAGGAAGCAGGCTTATTAGTATCTTAAAAAATACATAAAATTATATATATGATGGGTGGGAGAGCCCTTCAAAAAGTCCATAGGAAAATATGGAATTATACAATAATGGAATTTTCCCACGAGCTTTTTGAAACCCCTTTATATGTACCAAAACTGTAAACTACTACCTGAATTCTACTTTTTAAATAAGAAACACTTACATATGTCTTGATTAGTTAGCTTACTAATGTGATTTATGAAATGGAAATTTGCCTTCAGTTATTAGACATCTTGGCAATAGAATTTTAATAAAAGAAAAATGCTTTATAGTATTGGCTATATTTTACAAGTCACAGTGAATTTCTAAGAGATAATGTGATATGTCAAGTAACACTTAAGGCTAATTTAAATATCATAGAAATGATGAATAAATGTATCTACTAACGACTGACTTACAACTTCCAAAAGCTGTGGTAAGGTCTGCAGACAAACAGCAACACTGGCACTTCTGAGACTTTCAATGGGCTCTTGGGTGTTTTCTACAGGGAAACAAGAGGAAGAGAAAAACTTGACAAATAATCTACTGACTTTTTAGGAGAAGCAGGGAAAGACAAATTTAAATGGCAAGAACATTTTCTAGCCTCTTAACAAAGTCACTTTCTTAAACACATGGCGACTATCCCCTTTTCATCAGGCAAGCCTTAAGCCGCAAACCCACGAATACTGAGTGTATTCCAACTTACAGTGGCTCTATGGGGGAGAGTACAACTGCTCCTTAGGGCTTCTGAAGTTTCATTTTTATGGGAACAGGCCACCTTATCATTCTCCCACAAAGCAGCTGGTGAGTTTGAACTACCAGCCTTGCACTTAAGCAGCCCAATGTTCAGCCCATGGCACCACAGGGTTGTTTTTTCTCTATGAGATGAAGTGTCCCTGGGCTGCTACAAGAGACTAGCAGAGAGGGATAGATAAGAAAGAACTTTACTTTGAGCAGGGAGAACGACAAGATAGTACTAAACAGCTATAGTGTAGTCTAAACCCTGCTGGACCAGGGTTCTTTAGACGAGTTGGGGGAGGCCTCATGTGAAGATACTTCTGGAAAGCTCTAACGGTTTCTCTTTTTTAATAGTTCCTATTTCCTAGCAGACTTCCACAGTTTCATGGAATAAATTGACAGAATTAACAGATGCATCACAATTAGATTAATGCAAGCAGCTCAGTAATTTTAGAAGATCTTGTTAGGTACCATCAAGTTGGCTCTGACTCATAGAAACTTCACATATCCAACCCAACAAAATACTGTCCAGTCCAGAGCCATTCTCACACCCACAGCTATGTCTGAGCCTGTTTCAACCCCTGTGACAATCCATCTCATTGAGGTGTTCCTCTAATTCACTACTTACCCAACCAAGCATGATGTCCTTCTCTAAGGACAGGTCCCTCCTGATGACATGTTGAGAGTAAATTAAGACACAGTCTCACCATCCTTGTTTCTAAGGAGCGTTTTGACTATACTGCTCCCAAGACAGATTTTTTGTGTGTTCATTCTGGCAGTCCATGGTACTCCCGATATTCTATACCAGGGGTCCTCAAACTTTTTAAACGGGGCCAGTTCACTGTCCCTCAGACCCGTTGGAGGGCCGGACTATAGTTAAAAAAACAAAACTACAAACAAATTCCTATCACACTGCACATATCTTATTTTAAAGTACAAAAACAAATGGAGCAAAATCACCCGGCGGGCCCGATAAATGTCCTCAGTGGACTGCATGTGGCCCATGGGCTGTAGTTTGAGGACGCCTGTTCTATACCAACACCTTAATTCAAAGGTATCAATTATTTTTCTGTCTTCTTTATTCAATGTCCAGCTTCCATACACATAGAAGGCAACTTAAAATATCAGTCGAGTGCACCTTAATATTCAAGGTGACTGGGGGAGGAGTGGGGGAAAGAGGAGCTGACACCAAGGGCTCAAGTAGAAAGAAAATGTTTTGAAAAGGATGATGGCAACTATGTACAAATGTGCTTGAGACAATGGATGCATGGATTGTTATAAGAGCTGTATGAGCCTCCAATAAAATGATTTTTAAAAAGTCAAGGTGACTTTTTTTTTAAGGCGACATCTTTGCTCTTTAACATTTTAAAGAGTTCTTTGCAACAGATTTGCCCAGTACAATACATCACTTGATTTCTCGATTGTTGCTTCCATGGGCACTGATTGTGAATTCTAGTAAAATTAAATCCTGGACAACTTCAATCTTTTCTGTTTATCATAATGTTGCTTATTACTCCAATTGCAAGGATTTTTTCCCTATGAGGCATAAAAGCTGCAGTCTTTGATTTTCATCGGTGTTTCAAGTTCTCTTTGCTTTCAGCCAACCAGGTTGTACCCTAGGTATACTACAGGTTGTTAATGAGTGTTCTTCTGACCCTGATGCACTTCATCCTGCAGTCCAGCTTCTCATATTATTGCTCCACATATTGAATAAATATGGTGAAAAGATCCAACCCTGACACACACACCATCCTTAATTTTAAACCATGCACTATCCCCTTTTTCTATTTCAATGACTGCCTCTGGGCCTAAGTATATGAACATAGTCATACTAACAACTATAAACTAAATAAATCATCATAATCATTGTTCGTCAATATTAAACGTTATTTATTGTCATTATCATAAAAGATTATCATCTAAATGAACTGACCTTCACAGTCTGCTAGGTGTATATCCATTTCCTCTTGGGTGAATGTTTCTACTTCTTCTAAAGGATCCTCGTCAATGTTCTCAAGTTCTTTGTCAGGATTATGAGAGACAGAAATAATCTCATCACTGATTTCTTTTACTTCAGTTTTTTTTTCTTCAGTTGGCACTCTAATTGACAGAAATGCAGCAACTAAAATTATAACCAATTCTTACAGACAAAAAGGTCTGCTTTAATTCATTCGGGATTTGAAAACAAGAACTTAATTATCAGATTTATAAAAACAAATGCTCTTTTAAAACACTCATGTGTGATACATACTCAACTCAATAAAACAAAGTCTCTGTCATTGAGTTGCCAGCTCATGGTGACCCTGTGAGTTTCCGAGACTGTATCTTTTTATGGGAGTACACAGCAACTCTTTATGGGAGTAGACAGCCCCGTCTTTCTTCTGTGGAGGAGCTGGTGGTTTTGAATTGCTGAGCTTGTAGGTAGCAGCCCAACACATAACCACTATGCCACCAGGGCTCCTTCTGTGTCATATACTAAACATTTCATAAAAGTCTAATTTCAACTGATCTAAATTGTTTGCCTGTTTCACAAAAGGAATTTTCCTGCTGTAAGGGCTTTGTCTTTCAAACATACTGTTATTCATAGTATAATAACCTCATATGTAAAACTGGCTGAAGTGATTAGTTCAACTTTCTCTGACATAGAAAATAAATTAATATAAGTAAAGGGTACTTTCTGGATCTATTAGCTCCTCTCTCAGAAGATACAAGGTAGACCAACAAAGAGAAAACATAATGTGCCATGAAGTGTTATAGCCATTCATAAAGTGCTCATTTCCAGTTCATTCTTTTAACTTTCCAGGGTTCAACTCTTCCCTTTCAGTCCAAACATCATCAAGCTGGTTAATATATTCAATTGAAAGCTTACTTCAAGATATTCTGACAAGATTCGCTTCGGTACTTTGACTCCTCAGCCCCAGCTATAGCTGCTAGAGCAACTGCACAGCCGGCTTCTGCTTCACTCTCATCTTCAATCTCGGGTTCAGCCTGACCTCTAGAGTGATGATTCTCTTGAACCTAAAAGCAATCATTTAAATAGTGAGTATTTATTTTTTAAACACTTATATTTCTGTATACTTTAAAATTAACCACAACTTCTACAGAACTTCTGAGTCAGTCTTTTCTTGTTTATGAAGTATTTACTGTATTATTGCTACTCAATATTTATGGCTGAAGCAAGGAGCAAGTCTTATTTAACCCAAAAAATTATACCTGAACCTCATGGTTTTCAGACCACGAGATAATGGCGACATTCCTTCAGTTTTACTATTGTTTGCTATTATAATATTTAGTCATCCCATCTGTCTCTTACTTAGAAATTCAGGTAGGAATTGCCCAGAAATGATTGCACGTTTCAATACCAATTATCAAGCATCTTATCTCAGGATGACAGAAATTGGTCATACACACACACAAAAACCAACAAAAACAAACTTACACAAACACACACTTCACACCCTTCAGTTTAAAATAAACCATTTTATTTTATTATTTTTTTTAAATAAACCATTTTAAAATATAGTTACTTTAGAATAAATTTAGATACTGTTAAAATTCCCAATAGATTTTTTTAAATACCCATTGTAACTATTTATTATTATTATTTATAATCCTTATGTAAATCAAGAAAAATTTGACTATTTTTTATAAGTTCATATACTTCTTTTGATTGCAACAACTACAATCAAACTATTTTATACAAAAAATGCTTATCTTGCAAATAATTAAGATAGTTCTTTGCTACTGGTCAATTAACTCATCTACTGACAGTCACCTGTCATCCTAGATTTGGGTCTCCAACCTCTTCTGGCCACGGAGTACACAAGAAATGATCCCCAAAGCATGTGAGGAAACACCAGTCACAAAAACGTAAAAGCTGCCCATTGTTCTTCGAGGAACACGCATGGCACTGTGGCTAAGTGCTCAGTTGCTAACCAAAAGTTTGACAGTTCAAACTCACCAACCACTCCACAGGAGAAAAACACAGTTATCTGCTTCTGTAAAGACAGAGCCTTGTAAACCAGGGGCCACTTTACTCTGTTCTACAAAAGGGTTGGTGTGGGTCAAAACTGAATCTAGGGCAATGGGTTTCTACAACTGAACCAAACCTGAAAATTAACATAATTGAAATATCGCTTTTAAAATTGCTTAAATTATCTTTTTCTTTTTTATAGACACAGTCTCAAAACCTCATAGCACTTTTACTCTGATTTATTTTTAAGGAACCAAAGCAGGGGGCAGGGTGGGGAGGGGTGTGAGAGAGTTAGAAAAAAACAAAACAAAACTGCACAAATGGCCTAGGTGAAACAAACTGAAATCAACACTGTTACAAGGGCAGCAAATTACTTATCGTGGTTCTTCTAGGGAAGGCCTCTAACTCTACTAAGCAACCTTTTCCTGCATGGGTCTGGTAAGAAGGTGGGGTGTACGTTGTACAGATAGCAACTGGAAACACAGGGAATCCAGGATAGATGACTCCTTCAGGATCAGTGGTGAGAGAGGCGATGCCTGGAGGGTGAAGGGAATGTGGGGTAGGAGGGGGGGACTAATTACAAGAATCTACGCATAGCCTCCTCCCTGGGGGATGGACAGCAAAGAGGGCGGTGGGAGACATTGGACAGTGTAACTTATGACAAAACTATAATACTTTATGAATTATGAAGGGTTCATGAGGGAGGGGGGGTGTGGGGGGCTAAATGAGCAACTGATATGAAGGGCTAAAGTAGAAGGCAAATGTTTTGAGAATGATGAGGGCAACAAATGTACACATGTGCTTGACAAAATGGATGGATGTATGGACTGTGATAAGAATTGTATGAGGCCCCAATAAAATAATTTTTTTTAAAAAGTGGGGAAAGATACTGATAGGGTTCACCTGTGGATAATTGTCAACAGGATTCCTTGGAATGCCATCCTGCTGTGTATAAAATGAATCCTCTGAGAAGAAGGATTTCATTACCAGTAAGAGCCAGGAGTGGAGGGCATCTTTTGGAGCTTTTTAGATACCTGTACAGTGAACTTCCTGGATCCAGAAGACAGCTATGACATCACAGGAGCACCAATAGAACCAGGAGCCAGTACATGAAACAGAGTGATGGACTTCGTAGCCCACGGAACATGTGAAGCTGAGTGCTTTGGGGTACGAGACTGGCTTGTGGAGTGGGTGCCTTTGGGCACTTAATTTAGGGAGCTGGGTTTGCTGACGCACAAAGCTTGTGCTAAATGCCTTCGGGTTGAGGTTTATAGCGGAGTGGTATGCCCTTTAGAGCATTTATTAGCTGACCTGAAAGAACTTTGTAACATGTTCCGATAAACAACTATACTGAGTATTTCTCACTTGCATTGCAACCTCTTAACTTCCTTAATAAACCCTTTAGCATGAATTTTTTGTGAGGTCCATGTAGCCAGTACAATGGATGTTAGAACCTGGAGATCAAGTTGTGAATGCTAATTAAGACAACACAATTGTAATTAACTCTTATTACTCTGATTCTTTAATACAAGGCATTTCATCTCTATGTAATAAACAATTCATGCACTTACCATAATAGTACCGTATTTTGCTTTGTATGTTGCAAAATAGGGTTGTCCTAAAAGCCACAAGGATGTCAGAATGGCCGCTGTAGAGGTCTTTATACGAATTACTGGACTGTACTCCCAGGATGGCTCCAAGCTATTAGAATCACAGAGTAACCTTCTATCGGACCATCTTATCATCCATTCGAGCAGCCTGCCAATACTGCCAAATGGATTACTTAGTGCTAGAGGAAGATCTTCTTGAGGAATAAGATCGCTGTTTTCAATTGCTCTGAAAAGACATCTCCTGTTAATGGAATTGGGAGTCCAAGAAACAGGGGTTGACAATCTGTGGACTAGAGGCTTCTCCTGACTGTCATTTTGCATTCTGTAAATTGACTTTTGTTTTAAACCAAACAATCCACTCTTTACTTCATTTTTACTGACTCCATCAAAAGGTTTCTCAACAAAAGGTTTAATGCCTTGTTTAACCACTACTGAAGCAGGAAGTGCCTGGTTTTCCAAATGTCTGGCGCAGTCATTGTTTATGGCCGATGCATTTTCACAGTCATATGACTCAGGAGCAACAGCAAAGCAAGAGCCAGCTCTGAAAACGTTCTGGCTTTGGGTTTTGCCCTGACGGCGTTTTAATGTTGTATGCACATCAAAAACTAAGGAATTAAGTTCGTATTCTCTGAGATGTGACGAGAAACTGGTTAGAAATGGAATGCCAGGATCCCTGGAAGTAAGGAGGTCTCTTTCAAGAACATAACTCAAGAAGAGATCAAGGAATTGAATATATTCGTCATCGTCACGTTCAAATTCCCAAACACCTACTACAGGAACTGTATTTTGGGATGACTTCTCGTCTTCTTTTCTCTTAGCGTTCTCTTTTGGATTATATAGTTTCTTTTTTTCATTGGGCTTACTCTTCGATGTTAACTCTATATGACTTGAGGTATTTCTATAAAACAAAATTGAAAAGACAAAAAATGAAAAATCATTTAATCACTAAATTTCATCTTTGAACTCTGCATGGATTAAATTGTTATTTTGTGCCTCCATTATCTTCGGGTCGGGGGTGTGCAAGTGACTAATGTAACTGATGTCACTAAGCTGTGTAGCACCTGAAAAAGTTTAACTGGCAGATAGTGTGTGATGCTTATTTTCACAACAACAAAGAACAGCTGCTTGTGATGCTCACCTATAACCAAACACTTTCATGGGATCTGGTACTTTGGTTTGGAGGCTTAGGGCCATGGTTTCATGGGACATCCTAGGTAATGGGCCTAGTATCATATTCAGTGTTTCTATCCTACCTCAATCAAAGCTTGCAAGTGTCCATCCAAAACATCACAATTGATCTCTATTTGCCAGAAGCAGCAGAAGTAGAAGAGAGTCACGAGCAAGCAAGAAAAGAAAACAGACTGCATGGCTAATGCAAAGCAGGGAAAGGGTACAGAGCATAATTCCAAATTCTCATGGAATTTAGATTTCCTGGAGCCAGTGGAATAGTCCCAAAAACCACTTGCCAGAGATAACATGTAAACTTTAAAATAACACAATAACCCCTAACGTCTTCTGTAAACCAACAATAATTTGATTTAACTAGTAGATTGTCTACTTTGAACAATATTTTTTTATTTTATTGGCACAAAGGCCACATATCATACAATTCAAGAGCTCAATCATATAAGGAAGAACTGTACACTCATTACCACAATCAATTTCATAACTTTCTTTTCATGGTTAAATTGCCTTTAAAATGAGTTATGTAATCACAATCCATTTTCCTGCTCCCTCTCCCCTCCCACCTTCACTGTCTGCTGCTGAAATCCCCATGCCTTCCTTATCTCATACCAAGCATCCCTACATCCCCTAAAAAAACCTTGCATCAGCTACTATCTCCTTCTGGGCTTCTACTCCTATGTTTCACCAACTGGAAAACCCAACAGACAATAAAAAACAACCAACCAAAGTGGTAAGGATAAAATAATAAAAAAAATTAAAATGTAAATAATGAGTAAGAAAGAAGAGACCACCAACAATATTTAAGAACTAAGGGGAAATTTTTTGTCCTGGTTGATTTTAACAATCTTTCAGTCATGAGAAGGATAAACTGCACTACAGAAACTGAAATTATAAGATAACTTCCTACCCTAATGGAAGCTTAATGAACATTAGGGTAAACCTGCCCTAACATTTAAGCACCGCTGTTTTGCAAGACAAGGACAACATTTTAATGTTATATGTGTTCATGAGTATGTATTTTATCGGTATTATTTATGATTTAACCAGATACTTAAGAGTAATTAGGATATTATTCTTAAGATCATGGTTGATTTATACAATCTTTTAGTCATGAGAATGAAAAACTGCACTGGAGAAAGTGAATTATAAGAGAACTTCACAATTTATGAACAGTTTCAAAGATAAATTCCTTAAAAATGTTATGACTAACCCGTAATTCCAAACTTTTATCTCTAATGGCTACTAAAATAATTTAAGTCTTTCAGCTATTACTAGAATGTATCTATTTAGCTTTATAAATGTAGATGACAAAATTATTTCCTATCTCCATATTTTAAAAGGATTTTTAAAGGTTTCTTTTCATACTTCGAGTACTCTGGTGCGCAGAGAGTGTAGCATATAACATTCACATTAGTAGCAGTCAGTGAGGGTTGCTGAGCCTAGAAATCAGATCATCAAATATAAAAATATATTTTTGTAAAAGTATATTTTAAAACTCTATTTTTCCAAAGGAAGTGAATATCAGCTACTGAGAACTCAACTGTACCTGTGATAGGAATGTATTCTGTTTTTTCCTTCCATGGACAGAGCTTCAGACAAAGTGTCTGCTGTATCAGCATCACTGTGAACCAGGGAACTCCCCAGACCTGTGAGCGTACTCCTGCTCAAACTAGTCCCCAGGGAAAGCCTGTCCAAAGCTGAAGCATCATCTGGTTTTTCTTCATCCATTGGTTCCCACACGTTTGTCTCAAAAGGACCTATATTTCTCCACACACGCTTTAGAGCTTTCACCCACACTTTATGGATCGAATGCATGGTAACAGACATAATTTCCTCACTTTGGGGACCTAAAAAGAGAGAAAGTCTTATAGCTCAATAAAATGTTTCAACCTAAGACATACAGGAATCTATTTCTGGTCCTTCCTGGTTACATGACACTTTAACAGGCTGAATTTAGCATTTTTACAGATCATGCGTTAGTCCACAGCTTCAAACCAATTCACTCCAGTTTGTCCACCTGTAGAGAGTTGGTATTTCCATCCAAAATATATTGAATGAGAAATGACATTTTGAAAAGATCCCAGGAGATACTGATATATCAATAAAATCACACAAAGAACACCCATGCTCATCACAGCACTATTCACAATAGCCAAAAGGCAGGTGCAACCTAAATGTCCATCAATGGCACAGTAGAGAAACTATGGTACATAATGGAATGGAATACTACACATTAAAAATAACAATGCATCTGCCAGACCTCATAGCATGAATGAAACTGGAGGTCATTATGCTGAATTAAATGTCAATCACAAAAGGGCAAATATTATGAGACTATTATAAAAGTATTAAGAAAGTGTTTTCACACTAAAGAAACATTCTTTGATGATCACCAGAGGTGAAAAGGGAAAGGAGGATAAGAGTGTGGTCAGCGAGGGTAGGTTGGAAAGGGTGAACCAATTACAAGGATCTACATATAACCTTCTCCCTTGGGGACTGACAACAGAGAAGTCGGTGAAAGGAGACATCAGACAGTGCAAGATATGACAAAATAATAATTTGTAAATTATCAAGGGTTCATGAGGGAGGGGGGAACAGGGAGCGGGGAGGGAGGGGGAAAAAATGAGCTGATGCCAGGGGCTAGGGTGGAGTGCGGATGTTTTGAGAATGATGAGGGCAATGAATATACAAATGTGCTTTACACAATTGATGTATTTATGGATTGTGATAAGAGTTGTATGAGCCCCTAATAAAATGATTTTTTTTTTTAAAAGTGTGGTCAGAAAAAGTGCTACAGATACGGGAAGACTATGAGAAGAGTACAAGAGTTAAACAGCAACCAAGGTAAATATTGTTACAGACAGTTCTGCAGTAACAGTGATCTATGAGGTTGATGGGTAAGAGGAGAGTCCGACTCTACCCATGAATATAAGGTCTGTAAGGAGAACACAGTACTAGGGAGGAGTTTACTACTTAGACTCATCAACCACTTAAGATCAAAAGGACTGCATTTACCCAAGGACAAGGAAAGGAAGAGGGACGGAAACAGGAAACACAAGAGGAAGTGGGTTAAGTGATGTGGGGATAGCAATCAATGACATGAAACAATATGTATGAATTGTTTAATGGATTTGCTCTGTAAATCTTCAACTAATTAGCAATGTTTGTCTTTTTTTTAAATCCCAGGGGTGTCAATAAGAATCACCTAGGGATCTGGTTACAGGTTCTGATACAGTGTTAGAAGATGGAAAAACAAACTCTCAGCAGGGTGTTGAACCAGATGAACTGGTTCCCAGCCGTGCTGTAGATTGGTAGAAAATTTACGTTTTAGAGGAGAATTGCAGAAGCTGATGAGGGCCTGCTAAAGAGCAGTGAAAGGGAGAGAACCCATAAACGAGTTGGCCTGGTAAAGACAAATTATTAGTCATTTAACTATTTTCAAAAATCAGAATAATTCAGAAACATGACTACTATATTTTCATGGGAAAATGTTCACTTAATGCAAAAGAAAGCTGGTACAACAGTGGTTCTCAACCTTCCTCATGCCGCGACCTTCTAACACAGCTCCTCATGCTGTGGTGAACCCCCCACCACAAAATGATTTTCGTTGCTACTTCATAACTAATTTTGCTACTATTATGACCTCCAAAGGGGTCATGACCCACAGGTTGAGAACCGCTACAAAGGAAGACTTGATAAATGAAGTGACATGAGACACATAAAAAACAAAAAGACTGATATAAATTCAACTACATTCATGAAATGTTAAATGTGAGTGGATCAAATAATTCAATCAAAAGGCACAGATCTTGAGACTGGATGATAAAATCAAGATTTAACTCTTTGCTGTCTATTAGGGACATTTAGATTCAAATTTATAAATAGATTTAAGAAACAAAATGGAAAAAGATAATCCAAGCAAACAGTAGCAATAAAATAAGAATCTTCAGCAATTTTACACACTATGTAAAAACAAACATAATACCTGTCACAACACAGTGTCTGAGTCTCTGTTGAAGGGAATGGTACTTTTCTCTTAAAGGAACCCTTACGTCCTCAGGATTGGGAAATGCTTTCATGAAAATTTCTGCTACCTTCAAAAAAGGTTTAAAAGTGAGTTTCATGAGCAACATCATTCTTATTGACGGTAAAATGAAGTATCTGTTCTAATTTATCTTCACCTACTTTTCTGAGGGGTGGCAGTTCTCCAAGGAGACTCAAAATTATATCTTGAGTGAGTTCTTCAATATTCAAAAATCGGGAGAAAGGTAGCATTCTGTAAGCCCATTCCACAGCACTAAGGCAGTGCTCAACCATACAAGAATCAAACTTCACTTCAAATTCCTAAATGGATATTGAAAAGAAACATTTCCTTTTCTATTTAAATAGACCATAACGCGTACAATAGGAAAATTTTTGTGCAATATACTCTATTAAGCAATTTCCCCAGTAATGTTTGTTCATTTTTCTTATTCTTGTGCAGATATGTACCTTTTTCTTCCCCATATTTTCTCTTGCTTTCTGATATTGCCTGCAACTATAGGACAACTTTTCACGGATATGCAGCATCCAACACAAAGCACAAAGTTCTCTAAAGCAACCTAAATCAGGGACACAAATATGAAAAAAGTTGTATGATCATGAACATTAATAATATCCAATCACAGCTGATGTCCTTATTTTGTTGACAATAGAAGAAACAAGCGCTTATTGGAAACACCTCATGTAAAGCCACGGACATCTTTCTAGAATTTTTAAGCATGTTACTAACTTTATAAACTACTTGCTTACTTGCTTTACAAATTCATAATGTGCCATGGGCATTTTTCAAGGCCAATACATATAGCTCTACTTTATATTGTTCTATTATACAGTTAATCTATTTAGTTAAGTCACTTATTGGCAAGTATTTATGTTGAAATGTGTTCAATAAAAAAAAAACAATTTCCCATATTAAATACTTTTTTATCCTGAAAGCTTATACTTCTGTATACAAGTATATAAATATATATAAAATCATACCATACATGCGGCTTAATAATTGGATTTATTTTTAATCTAGTTTATCTTGGGCCTCTCTATTCCATGGAGGTGACATATAAGCAGTCTCTGAGTTACAAGCATCCAACTTACATACAGCGTGTAGTTACAAGTCAACCTTTAGAAAGTCAATTACAGCAAAAATCTTAGGTACATAATGGTTTGTAATAACAAACAGTTACTGCCTTTGAGATTCAAATCAAAACATTATTATGTTATGTTAAAGATGTTTTAATATATCTGGAAGCCTATCTTTATTGTTTATGTATAGAAAAGTACACTATATGCTAAGACAAATATTTAACTTATTAATGTTAGATATAAAATGTACCAAACGGTTCTAACTTACATACGAATTCAACTTAAGACAGACTTAAGTCGAAGCCAGCTATACAATTAGTAGTCAGTAGACAGACATCATTGACTTACTATATCAATGCCCCATATACTGCAATAAAATATATATTATTTTGGGCGGGGAGAGGAAGGGAGACTTAAGAAAGGAATTTTTCCCCAATCTGGGAGCTACCTGTAAGCAAACTAAATCTGTTTATTGCTATCAGTAACCGAATGATCTTGACTTAATTAGGCACAATTCCAGGGCCCACAATGTGTCTGGCAAAAACTTCCTGCTGTTCGGCTACTCTTAATTTCCTTTATAATGACTCGCATGTGACACGTTAGTCTCGTATCAGGTAAGGCCTATATCCTCTTTACTCCTATGTTCTGCAGTAAAAAGGATCATTTCCTATGCAGTTATCTAAGCCTTTTCTTAAAAATAAGTTTGCTTTTTTTTAAGTAGTAAACTGGCTTTAAAACTAACAATATTTAAATTTTCATTAGGAAGTTCTTTGATATATATTTTAAACAACTATCATAAAGATTACCATGGAGTCAATTCTGACTCACAGTAAACCTATATAGGGTTTCTAAGGTTATAATTTTTATGGGAGCAGATAGACTCATCTTTTTCCATCAAAGTAGCTGGTATATTTGAATGATAGGCATGTGGTTAGCAATCCAACACTTACCCAACAGTGCCACCTAGGTTTGGGGACTTCTATAGTAATAAAAAATGCAATGGTGGAGAACTTTATTTCGATCCAGATTTGAAAACACAATTGTGAAAAAACATTTTGGGATCATTAAAAAAAGTCAAAAGAATAAATATTAATTTTAAAGAATTACTGTTTTTAGATGTGATAGAATTTTAGATGTGAAAAATATTTCTGGTTAACTACATATACTAAAGTACCATATATACTGAATATAAGCCAACCCGAATATTAGCTGAGGCACCTATTTTACCATAAAAACTGCATTAAAAAATGTGCTGAAAAACTCGGCTTATACACGAGTATATATGTAATACTTTTATTTAAATTTTCTATAATAAAAAACTTCCTAAAAGATGAAAAGCCACTACTTTATTAATTTATTTGTAACTCATTTTATTGGGGGCTTTTTTTTTCAAAGATCATTTACTGGGGGCTCTTACAACTTTTTTTCCCCAATCATTTTATTGGGGGCTCATACAACTCTTATCATAATCCATACATCCATCCATTGTGTCAAGCACATTTGTAGGTTTGTTGCCATCATCATTCTCAAAACATTTGCTTTCTACTTTAGTCCTTGTTATCAGCTCACTTTTTTTCCTCTCTCCCACCTTCTCACCCTCATGACCCCTTGATAAATTAGTACTGTTTTCCTATCTTACACTGACTGTTATCTCCCTTCATCCACGGTTCTGTTGTTCATCCCCCAGGGTGGGGAAGATTATGCATTGATCATTGTGATCAGTTCCCCTTTCCACGCCTCCTCCCCCTTAACTTCCTGGTACCACTACTTCCAATTCTGTTCCTGAGGGGTTTATCTGACCGGGATTCCATGTGTCGTGAGCTCTTATCTGTACTAGTGTACATGTTCCAGTCTAGCCAAAACTGAAAGGGAGATCTGGGTTCATGATAGTGGGGGTGGGGTGGGGTGAAGAAGCCTCTAATAACCAAAAGAATATTGTGTTTCATCGGTGCTATTCTGTGCCCTGGTTGACTCATCCCTTCCTTGTGACCCTTCTGAGGGAATGTGTCCTATTGTCTACAGATGGGTTTTGGGTCTCTGCTTCGACAACTGCTCCCCCCACTCCATTCTCAGTTATATATATATTTGTTTTGGGTCTTCTGGTGCCTGTTACCTGATTCCATCAACACCTCATGATCTCACAGGCTGGTGTGCTTCTTCCATGTGGGCTTGTTGCTTCTCTGCTAGATGGCCATTTGTTTAGGCCTTTAAGACCCCAGGTGCTATTATCTTTTGATAGCTGTGCACCATTAGATTTCTTCACCATATTTGCTTATGTACGCATTTTGTTTTCAGCGATCATATCGGGAGGTTGAGCATCACAGAATGCCAGGTTAGTAGAACAAAGAGTTCTTGCATTGAGGGAGGGCTTGAGCAGAGGCCAAAAGTCCATCCACTTCCTCAATGTATTGCCATAAAGAGATATGTAAATAGGCCAATACCTCTATTTTTATTACCATATTTACATAAGTGCATACCTATGTTTATACCTCTATCCTTAGCTTTGCTTCCTAGGTCTTTCCTGCTTCCTTTTATCTTCCCCTCCTGCCTCACCATCATGTTTGCCCTTCTGCCTCTTAGTAGTTCCTCTCAGCTAGACTGCTGTTGCTCAAACACCACTGGGATCTCTATGCCCACCATGTTGTTGCTTTTAATTCCCTAGTTGTTCCCCGGTCTATGGTGTTGTTTGCTCACCGCTCCTTTCCCCTGTCCCCTCCTTCCCCCAGGTCCCTCCAGAACCCCTGGTCCTGTTGCTTTCTCTTCAGGCTTGTTTCCCATGCCTATCTTATATTGGTAGGCAAAACAACAGTAACAGTGACAAAGCAAAAAGAAAACAAAAGGTAGACTACAAAGAGAAAAAGAAAAAGGGAAAAGCATACATAATTCTAAGTCTATCTGCTGATCTTTATGATTATCTCCCCACCAGTCCTGGGGGGGTCCCAGGAACTGCCCCTCCTAGCCTGAAGTCTATTTTGTGAACTCCTCAGGGAAAAAAAAGGTATTATTTTAGATGACAAACCAGGAAAGGAAATTTTTTTACCCTAGTCAAATCACTTCATAATCATTAGCAGGCAAAATCTAACTAGAAGAATATTTAATAGTGGGGTCTCAGTATCAAAATGAAAATATTAAAAAACATGTTAAAAATCTATTGAAATCACTTCAAAGATATTTTAACTGTTACTTTTATAGATTTAATTCACTGCTTAAAATTCCAGATTTTAAGACATAAACTAGGATGATACATTAACTTCTAGGTGACACCTGCCTGGTTCTTCTTCTTGCTAAGGTGAATGGGAAGTTTAGCTAGCACCATGACAGCCGAGAGAAGCAATCAGAAAGCATTTTACTGCAAAGAAAGTTTAAAAAGCAGTCAGAATTGATGAGTCAACTAGGGTGCAGTATAGCACCGATGAAACACACAATATTCCTCTGGTTCTTTGAGACCTCCTCAACACCCCCTCCCCCACCACCTCACACTACCACAATCCTAGTCCTGCCTTTTAGTTCGGGCTATACCGGAGCATGTACACTGGTACAGATAAGAGCTCAGAGTTCACAACACATGGAATCCAGGTCAGATAACCCCCTCAGGAACAGAACTGGGAGTAGCTATACCAAGAGGGAAAGGGGAAGATGGGGGGAGGAGAGCTGGAGGGGGAACCTGATTGTAATGATCGATGCATTGCCCCACCACCACCAGCGCCATGAACAACAGAAACGTGGGTGAAGGGAGACAGCGGCTGGTGTAAGATATGAAAACAACAATAATTTATAATTTATCAAGGGGGTCATGAAGGTGGGAAGGAGGGTTGGGAGGGGAAAAAATAGCTGATACCAAGGGCTCAAACAGAAAGTAAATGTTTAGAAAATAATGGTGGCAGCCTATGTACAAATATGCTTGATACAACTGATGTATGGAATGTTATAAGTGCTGTAAGAGCCCCCAATACAATGATTTAAAATACTAAAAAATGTTTTTTTAATTTAAAAAAGCAGTCTGAGCCCCAAGAATATTATTTGATACTGAGTATGAAGAATGAGTAAGTTGAAAAGGAGTATTTTAATCAAAGTCTGGAGATCAGATCAGGGCTTAATGTATCTATGACTGATTATAAAGTAAGGGTTAAGAAGGAAAAATTGAAATAATACCTAAAAGTATATTTCTTTTAAGACATGCCATGCAGGTAATGAAGAAGTCCTGATGGCCTAGAGGGCAATGCATTGAGTAATAATACCACCACAAGGTCAACAGTCCAAATCCAGCAGCATCTTTGCAGGAGACAGATAAGGCTTTCTGCTCCCATAAAGATTTACAGCCTGTGAAACCCAAAGGAACAACTAGTTCTACTGCCTTAAAGAGTCCCAATGAGTTATAGTTAACTCGACGGCAATGAGTTCAGTTTGGTTTATACAAACCATGAAAAGGCAACTTGAAGGAGAACATACAAATTATAAACTGAAATGTTCAATGACTATTAGCCAAAAGAAAGGCATATTAAAATAACAGTCATTTTTTCCTTTCTTTTGCACAAGCCACCGAATAACAACAATCATTTTTCTTATCCATCAGATTAATCTGAAGGAATGATATAAAACATGGCATACTACAGCAAGAGATTTAAATAAGGCATAACCACTGACCCTTCAATTGCACTTGAGACTCTACACTAAAGAAATACTTTAAAATATAAAGGAGAAGTTGATAAATCAGAGCAATTCAAATGTAAAATAACAAGTAAGTTAACACATTTGGAAAAAAAAAACAACCAAACTCAAACTCTGTCACCCAGTCAATTCTGACTCAAAGCAACCCTGCAGCCAGAGAAAAACTGCCCTTATGGGCTTCTAAGACTAACTCTTTATGGGAATAGAAAGCTTCGATTTTCTCTCACGGATCTGCTGGTGGTTTAAACTCTTGACCTATTGGTTAGAAGCCCAATACATAACCACTCTGCCCTGGGGCTCCCTGAAACTAACAAGTATACAGTAACAAAAGTCATCCAAATAAACAGATACAAAAAGCTTAACAGAGGCATGTTAAGTTAGCTACCAGGAGACAAAACTGGTGTCAGTACTGACAGGTTCAAGACCTGTCCACCTACAGTGGTTGACAGCAAATCCTAAGAGCAGGAAAATCCAAAGAAAGTCATTCATTCCGGAGTGCTAAGATCCCCATGTTAAATAACGAAGTAATGATAGTGTCAGAGTTGTTGAAATGTTTTAAATTATGTTACTTTAGAACTACCCATATATATTACATGTATATACACACTGTTGAAGTAGTTTTTGCTTGTGAACACAAAGCAAAATATCATAGATCATCCTACACTCTGAAAAGTAGTAACAGTTTAGAAACCTTCCCAAATCAAATGTAAAATGTGTTATTATATATATTTAGGCCTGTTTTCCCAGCATGCAGTTCATGTTGGCACATACCGGTGACTTTACTGGACACTTCCTCAAGCTTGTGGTCTCCACTTGCTCCAGGTCTAAAGAATGCTATCCCTCCTTTACAGTAATTTAGGAGCGACTGAGGGAAAGGACTCAAGGAAGGAAGGGACCCTTTTAGGCGAATCTAAAAGCAAAGAGTGGTAAGATATGTTTAATTAGCAAAAGTCTAAATGATTTCTTAAGTCTATTATGAGAAACCATGATTGTTGTGTTAGGTGCTATTGAGTTTGAGTCCCAGAAGTCCATGTACTACGGAAGGAACCATTGCTGGCCCCGCACCACCCTCACAGTCATTGTTAAGCTTCAGTCCGTTATTGCAGCCACCGCGTCAATCTGTCTTCTTGAGGGTTTTCCTCTTTTCATTGACTGTCTCCTGAATGGAAAACAGATTGGCTCCTATACGTCCTAAGTAAAATACACTTGCAATTAGCTAGACATTTAGAAACTTAGTCTTCAAATTCTTACCATCCCTAAAAGTGATAGAAAAAGTGATATCTGCCACATGATAGAATCCTATAGAGAAGTATACAATACTACTTTAAAAATTTTGTAAAAAAAAAAAACTGTTACCTGAATCTAATCAAACCTCTTTATCCTGATGAACAGATTAATTACCAGTTTACAAGGCATAAAAAGAAAGAACAAATAAAATGAAAAGAAATGAGGCAAATCCAAACTATAGTACAGGGCAAATTACCCAATTTCTCTAACAAATTAACAATAAAAAAGTAAAAGAAACACACAACAGTCTAAAATCTGGACTAAGAAGACTGGCGGCATGTTCACTAAATATTTTCTCCCTCCATGGATGACTTCCAAGGAGAAAGTTGTGACTTCCAAATCTCCCAGAAAGCACGCTAATGAGACTTCCTGGCAAGCAGTTAGTGGTCTTTCTTAGCAGATGTACAAATCTGTCTTGGGCTGGTATTGTAAATACACATAGACGGTTTCATGGGTTGGCTATTGTAAGGAAATCTAGAATGTGTGGTTTCATGGAGCACTGCTCCACCTATATGTAACTAAAGGCACACAAAAGGGAGATGTTGGGTCACTTGAAACGGCTCCCTCTGTGTGATGGCGATCCACATGTGTCACTGGTGACTTCATGTGTTAAATACAGTCCAAGGTGCATTCTTACGGAGCAAGAAAGGACCTGGGGAACAGTGTGTAGTCTCTTGGTTATCTGTAATCTTAAAATTATTAATAAAGCTTAATCCTGTTGAATCTTAAGGGTCTGACTCAAAATGTGTTTCTAATGTTGAAGAACCTACACAGTCTTTTTTATCTTCTAGCTAAATATTGAAAACAAAGCAAGTGAGTTTATAGTCAGGGCTTGACATGTAAGATCAACTGTCAATGAAAATATAATATAGAGTGTTAAGTAAAAAGTTTTCCATACACCAAATAAGTGTTTAAAATAAATTTTGCTAAAAGCAAGGCTGCAAGTCAAGAGATCGTTAAACTAGTAAACCAATCTTATTAAAGCCAATATTAAAATCCAAAGTGCTATAGCAAAGATTCTTGCCTCTTTTAATAAACATCTTAAAAACATTGTCATGAGAAGATAATGAACCTAGTTTTGTTATCTTGATATATATATATTTTTGTAGGTAAATGTAAAGTCACAAAACTTTCTATTTAAAAATGGCTAATCAACAAAAAATTTAGTAACTCACTAAAGTTTCTCTAAAGAGTTCACATTCAAAAAAAGATGTGGATTCCTCTTTTAACTTTCATTTCAATCAAAGCGGAATTAAAGACTTGGGGCTAATAAAATGTATTTCCACAGTGGGAAGAGAGGCAGTCATTCAGAGAGTAGGCCCACAATGGGCTTGGAGCCAGATGAGTGCACAGGCCTGGCTGCCGGGAGATAATGCAGTGGGAGCCAGCCAGGAAGAAGATGGCAGCCCCAGAATCACACCCAACTGCCCATCTGAGAAGATTAACAAGGTGGAGAGTCTGACTAATGGAGAACCCTGAAAGGAAACACGGATTTGGAGCACTACTACTAGCACTACCTACTTTGACCTCACGTAAGTGTGCACAGAACAACATGTAACACCCCAAGGAGGAAAAGGAGGACAGTCCTTGACCAAGGACAAAGCTTCTTGGACAGCGGAGGACCTGGAACTAACTGACTAGATTATGAGGGGGTAGCCCCCCCCCCAATAGAATTTTTTAAAAATAGAAAATTTTTTCCCAAAGCTATGTGTTTAAATTAAAAAAAAAAAATTTTCTGTTCTATTTAAATAATCATTTTGTTTGGAGCTCTTACAGATATTTTAACATTCCATGGTTCAATTAATAAGTATACTTGTACCAGCTACCACAATATTTCCAAACATTTTCTTTCTTCTTGAACTTTTTGATATCAGCTCCCCTTGTATATACTCCCTCCCCCACAAAGCCCTTATTATCTTTATTATATATTATTATTATTATCTTTTTTATCCATAATGTATTTACATTTTGTCACAAAACAACCTTATCAGCTTCAAAGTACTCTCTATTACACTTAATATATTTGTCAAATCTGCGATTCCATTCTTGGAAACATTGTTCAAACTCATCTGTTTGGATGGCTGACAGCACCTTTGTTTTTTTTCTTCGCCTCTTCTACATCATCAAATCACTGTCCTTTCACGCCCCTCTTCATTCACAGAAACAAAAAGGAGTCACACAGAGCGAGATCAAGTGAGGAAGGTGCATGGGGCAAGAGAGACATGCTGGGGTTTTCTTTGCCAAAAACTGGTGCACTGAGATGGCTCTGTGAGCAGGTTCATTGTTGTGGTGGCAAAACCAGTCCCGTTTGCCACAAATCAGGCCTTTTTGTCACACATTGTTATGCAATCTTTTCAGAACCTCTAAACATAAAGCTTGATTAACAGTCTGACCTGGTGGAATGAACTCCAAATGCACTGCAAGTCAACATTTTCGTCCATTCGGGAAGTTCACTGTCATCCAGAATGAGATTTATCACCAGTCAACATTTCAATTTTTTTTGAAACTACAAAACCACTCGTATACTTGAGTTTTTCCCATAGCGCTGTCTTTGTAGACTGGGTTCAACATCGCAACAGTTTCTGCAGCATTTTTCCAAGCAGGTAACAAAATTTCACAGCCGCATTCTGTCTCTTAAATCGGCCATCACAAATAATGAGGTTCGAGAGAAACCGCTTTTACAAAAAATTCACTGTGACCAGAGAGAACCTTCCCAGGCAACACCACTGGATACATTAACTCAGAGCAAGTAGTTTGATGCTCATCTAGCAGGAAAAACGTGTACTACAAAAGCTCTGCCCTGTGGAACTATTTTCTGGTTTTGGGGGGGTACCCCCCCGGGTACCCCACCCCCCACCCCCGTACACTGTTTATCTTAACGGAGGTCAGAAGGGCTAACACTGAAACCAGGCATTACTGAAATTTAGCAAATACTACCTGGTCTGTTTTGTCTGTCAGTTTGTCATACTGTGGTGGTTGTGATTCTGGAAGCTGTCATTGGTATTTCAATACAAGCAGGGTCACCCAAGCTGAACAGGTGCCAGCAGAGCTTCCAGACTAAGAACAGACTATGAAGAAGGAATAGGCTGTCCACTTCCGAGGGATTAGCTACTGAAAACCTTATGAACAGCAGCAGAAATAGAAGAGCAGCGAAAAAGAGGAATACCTTCAAGAAGATGGATTGACCCAGTGGATGCAACAATAGGCTCACACTTAACACCTGGGAGGATGGTGCAATACTGGGTGATGTTTCGTTCTGTTTTACAAGGGATCACTGTGAGTCGAGACCAACTCGGCAGCACTTCACAACCACCACCACCTGGTCTCTCTAGATTACTTTAAGTAAAGCTGGAGGTATGGATTTGTAAGGCAAGGGACCCTTGCAAAAGTGTTAGAATGGTAAGTATTACATTAATAACGACCAGTATAAGTAAATAGTTCTAAAACTGCATACAAACACATCAAACATTTCCATACCTTCTGCATGACTTTTCTTGCCCACCTCAACTGGAGAATGTACCACTGTGCTGCAGGAAACGAACACCGAGCTGCCCGGAAGAGCAAGAGAATACGCTGCAGGATTCCAGATACCTTCTGGCGGTAATCTTTTTCAGATTTTATAAGAAGATCATCACCATCTTCCTGAGGAAAATAATAAATTTTAGTAGCTAGTGGTAGGGAAACATAAAACATTAAAATTGACTCACAGGGATATATGTGTTGCAATAGGACTCCATTGGGTTTTCATGGCTCAGAACCTTTGGATAAACATTGTTAGGCTTGTTTTCTCAAGTGTCTCTGAGTGGGTTTGAACTGCTAACCTTTCAGATAATAGTCGAGCACATAACCGTTAAGCTAACGATATTGAGTACTTCTCAACTTAGGATGTCTCTGGGGAATTACAATGGTCTCTCAGATTTCAATGGCCATTCTAGTGGTGCAGAAACACATCTCGGCCATCAAACAATGTAAAGGCCTAAACTGAACCCAATCCCAAGTCTTCTTCCTAGATCAAGCCTACTATTCTTAATTCCATTGGTGAAACGTTATAACGCAGATCCTTCCAAGCCTGGGACAAATCCTGGACTACTGTAGTGCCACCTTTCTCTCTGAAGCGCCCTGTCTGTGCTACTAGCACTCTGCTCGTATCTCCATTATAGCATTTATAATTTATTCTCTATAAACCAATGTATTTGTTTCCCTCTTTACTGAAAATCCCTCAAAAACAAGGACTTTGTCATCCATCCTTGTATTATCCCAGAGCACAGGATAGAGTTCAGTAGACTCTATTCTAAATGTTTATTGAATAAGTGATATTGGCACCATTAGCTAAATATTTTCCCAGATAGCAAGATAATGTGACTGTTGTGCACAGCTGCTTCCCCAACATGTTAACTCCTTCCCACTTCCTATCAGAATCAATTTTTATTTGTCCATCAGCTACTCCCCTATATAAAATCCAAAAAACAAACCCACTGTCATTGAGTCTACTCAAATTCTTAGGCAAATGATAGGTTTTCTAAGACTGAAAATGTTTTTTTTAAATCATTTTATTGGGGGCTCGTACAACTCTTATCACAATCCATACATCAATTGAATCAGGCACGTTTGTACATATGTTGCCCTCATTCTCTTCTAGACATTTACTTTCTATTGAGCCCTTGGTACCAGCTTTTTTATTCCCCTCATCCTCGCCCCCACTTTCATAGCCCCCTGACAGATTATACACTGTTATTATTTTCATCTCCCACATCGAATGCTGTCTCCCTTCCCCCATGTCTTCTGTTGTTCTTCCCCCTGTAGGGGGTGGGGAGTGTATGGTTATGCATCAATCATTGCGATCCATTCCCCCGTTCTCCCTTCCTTTCCCCCTACCCTTCTGGAATCACTATTCCCACTCCTGCTCCTGGATTCTGTGTGTCGT